CTAGGATCGTAGTTTTAAATAGATCCCAAGCTTCCCCAATTGTTTTGACCCTTTCTACTTTTCCTTTCAGTTTCCTCCCCACGTGTCCCCTCATATCAGAGAAATTACCCCTTTTAAAGTTAAAAATGGTTGTGTGAGTCTTTTTGGCCAATTCTCTATTTGTACAAATGATGAACTCAACAACATTATGATCACTGTTTCCAAGCGGTGCAATCACTTTTACATCTCTCACCAGGTCTTGAGTGTTACTTAGGACCAAATCAAGGATCGCCTCTCCCCTGGTAGGTTCCGTGACCATCTGCTCCATAGCACAGTCATTTAGAGTGTCTAGAAACTCAATCTCTTTTTCCCGACTAGAACACATATTGACCCAATCAATGTGTGGGTAGTTAAAATCACCTATTATTACACAGTGTTTTTGTCTAGTTGCTATCTTTAAGGCATTCATCATTTTATAATCCTCCTCTATCTTTTGATCTGGTGGGCGATAACAAACTCCCAGTGTTAAGTTTCCTTTTGGCCCCCCTATTTCAACCCATAGAACTTCCAGAAGCGAATCCAATTCACTTAGCCTCTCAATCTTTCTAGACTTTATACCCTCTCTGACATACAGAGCTACCCCACCTCCAACCCTTCCCCCCCTATCCTTCCGATATAATATATAACCGGGAATCACTGTGTCCCACTGATTTTCCTCATCCCACCAAGTTTCAGAAATACCCACAATGTCTATTTTTCCCTCCGACACCAAGCACTCCAACTCCCCGATTTTACCTCGGACACTTCTAGCATTTGTATAGAAACAGCTGTAATTTCCCTTACAAGTTAAGCCTGCATCCTTCCTCTTGCTATCTCGAGTCGTTGTCCGGCAGTCCATGTCACCAGCCATGGCCTCTGTGGACAATTTCAATCCACCTCCCTGTAGAAAAGCAACCGGTACCCCCTCACCTCTCTCAGATGAGCCAACCCGAACCAGAGACTTTTCATCTCCTGTCGGCTTTCCCCCAATATTCAGTTTAAAAGCTGCTCTGCCACCTTTTTGATTTTAAGTGCCAGCAGCCTGGTTCCTTCTCGGGACAAGTGGAGACCGTCTCGCCTGTACAGCTCCCTCTTGTTCCAAAAAGTATCCCAGTGCCTAACAAACCTGAACCCTTCCCCCCTACACCATCGTCTCATCCACGCATTGAGACTCCTGATCTCTGCCTGTCTCTCCGGCCCTGCGCGTGGAACAGGTAACACTTCTGAGAAGGCTACCTTGGAGGTCCTGGACCTAAGTTTCCTGCCCAGCAGCCTAAATTTCTCCTCCAGGACCTCACGACTGCATTTCCCCACATCGTTGGTGCCGACATGCACCACGACCACTGGCTCCTCCCCAGCACTATCTACCAGCCTATCTAAAACACGCGTAATGTCCGCTACCTTCTATCAAGTCCCCGAGAGTCTTTTTTGTGCACCTAACTGACTGTCTCTGCTTCTCCAGGTCAGCCACCTTGGCCTCAAGGGAGCAAACATGTTCCCCGAGAACCAGGAGCTCCTTGCACCGAGCATATACCCAAGACTTCTGTCCAGTGGGCAGATAGTCATACACGTGACACTCAGTGCA